TGTTGGCTGAGAGGGTCGTTGTTGACGGAAATGTTATGGTGTTGATTGGGTTGGTGTGTATTTATTTATGTACATAAAGGATAAGACTGCAGGGGCAGAAGCATGTCACTGCACTTATACATGTGACAATAAACTTGAATTTCAAACTAGTCTTGCCTTTGGTTGTTTTGAACATTTGAAGGTATTTAAACCAACGACTTTTAGATTAATCAAAACTCTACCACCTTTTCAGGGATCCCAAGAACCTCTCAAGCATCTATAAATCCCACTCAAGGTCCTCTGAAACCTCATGAATCACATATGAAACCCCTCAAAGACCCCTAGAACTGTTATCAACTCTTACTAACTGCCTGTAGAGGCAGTTCAAGGACTTCTGGATTTCTCTCAAAGGCCCCTAAAGCACCTCAGGCACTCATGGAACCCCCCTGGGGTTTCCACACAGGTCTACAAACCCTGGATGCACCTAAGTATGCAGTATATGAGTGTGTGTGTGTGGTTCAGTGTGAATCCCAGACATGACATATGTTTGACACTACAGCTAAAACAGATGTTGTCTGAGATTATTACGGACATGATTTCCTCTGTGTCTCCTCAGCAGGTGTCACCTCAGTTTCTATTTCCTTTCAGTTCTGTGTGTGTGTGTGTGTGTGTGTGTGTGTTTGTTTTTGCCTGCTAGTGTGTGTCTATGGGGTCCTTTAAGGATGTCCCTTTACAAACAACCTACCACCCACGCAGCAGCTCTACAGCAGCTATTGTTATTTTCCACTTGTGTACTTGGTTTAGCTTCACTAACACAGTTTAATTTCTGATTGCTGTAATACAAGCAACACTGAATTATACTGATATTGGCCTATTTTAGCCCATGTTTCATTGCATTGTTGGCATTCAACACAATAATAATAACATTCTCAGTATTGAAAGAGGACCAAGTTATTTTTCTAAATTGTTTTTGTTATCCTCGACATTATCAGTGAATATATATTTGCAGCAGTGTTTGATTTGGTGTATATATATATATATATATCATTAATGGCTCTCTTAATATCAGCCATGTATTGGAAGCCGTAACTGTAATTTTATCTCTGCATGGTGATGGTTATCTGTTATCATCTGTTGGCCTCTATGAATCAGATCTGCTCAGTCATCACAACAAACGCTCCTATTTGAACATGTTTAGATTACAAAGTACAGCAGCTTTGATCATTAAAGCGTTCTTATCAGACTTCCAAATCATGTCCGGGCTGATGCCTTGAAACCAGCCAAAGACTGCAGGTAGACGAACACAAGGTGCATGCATCCAGCAAAGTTTGTGTCTTACCTGTCAGGATCCCAGACTCTCCTCGGGTTCTTGTTAGTGGTTTAGTCCAAGCAGCAAAGTGCTTCCCATACGCCATCCACTTTTCATCTGCAACAAGTTACAAGTAGCTACTGAGTTAAAGGGAGGAGGGAGAGGGAAAAACCCAGCTCCTCCCCTCACTGAGAGCAAAGTTCAACTTCCTGGTATGTAGGATGGTGGGACAGACTGTCCAAGGGTTGATGCGAGAAAAGTCGCTGTAAAAGGATAGCAGTGGGCTTATAATGGGATGTTCTCCGTAGCGGTTATAGTACACCTGGCTGGCTCAGGGAGCAGCACTGAGGAGACAAAGAAACTGGTTCTGCAACTTTCCAGATCCAGATCACAGCAGAGCTGCTGGGGCTTTGAATGAGTGAATGAATGAATGCACTTAACCTACTCACACAGGGACCTGTCTTGTAGCAACTTGTACAATAGGTCACATTAGCTACTGTGCAACATTGCAGTAAATGCAATTTTTGAAAGTTCAGTTAAAAGATATATAACTTCATTAAAATTGTTTAATTATGTTGGTCAGATGTTAGGATATTTAGCAGGTTGTATTGTTGCATTACCTGCCAGTCCAGGTCAATATATCAGCCAATATTAAAGGTCCAGTGTGTAACATTTAGTTTGTAGTGTGTTTTTTGTTACCTTAGAATGAGCTATTTTCATCTACAGAGGAAGCAGGTCCTCTTTCTCATTACTGTTTCTACAGTAGCCCAGAACGGACAAACCAAACACTGGCCTTTCGCATTATTCACAAGATTTAAGGCTACCATAGTTTCTCCTACAAGCTGGAAAGGCAAGCAGTTGGTTAGTTTGTTGCAATCTGCAAATTTACCACTAGATGTCACTAAATCGTACACACTGACTTTTATTTTTCACAGATGTATTTTCTTTTCTTTTTTTATCAATTTCAACTTCAAGTATTTATTTCAAATTTATCTTATTGTACAAATGGTCTACAAATTAAAAAAAAATATTATTATTATTATGCAAGCCAAGAAATATCAATACAGAAATGTCAAATTTGAGGTCATCCCTCAGTACATATCTTTAGAAAATTTGGGGGAGCCTTATCTAAAGTTTGTCAGTCAATAAGTACACAGCAAAAATGCAGTGTTGAATTAACTCCCACAGAGTTGATTTCAAATCTTTTTCGGGATTTATATAGCTCCTCACTCTCCAGAGTTAAATTAACACTTTTGAAATTGTTAAACATTTAACACTTTGCCAGAGCTCCTTCTTTACTCGCAAAAGAGGGTTAAATTAACAGTGAGTGATACAACATAACACTGCTCTGAGTTACATTTTTTACTATTTGGGTGGAGTTAATTTCTCCCTTTAAGTGTAAAATTGACTCTGAAAAAATATTAATTATAACAATTGATTACAATAATCTCAATAATTTTCAAAAATAACATTTATTTTTGCCTTTTCATGTGTAAAACAATGCACAGTCATATCGTCAAATAAATCATACAAATTAAAGGCAAAATGTGCTTTAAAATGTTCATCAAAAGGCTTGAGGGAGTGGTTTGCCTGGTATGAAATGAGAAGCTTATCCATGGTGATGTAGAAGCTGTCGATCCAGTTCTTCTGACGCCTAACAGCGAGGAGGTATGGCTGTAGATCCTGCTGGTTGGGGAGATGATCCTCTAAACTGTAGCATGACTAAGGAGATAAGGAAACAGAGAGAGAAAACTACATTATTGTAGAAAAAGTGATAACTCAAACATCTCCCTGGCTAGTGTGAGAAAGGAAAGCCTATGAAAACAATTTCATCCACTTTAACAATCCTAATTTACACACATGGCTAAGAAAGTGAGGTGACAAATTATTATAATCACCTACATAGTTTTTGGAGACTTCGGCCCCCCAGGTGGTGGTGAAAGAAGATGTATCAGCAACAACAGGGAGGTCATTTCTTGTAGGCTAAGGACAAAGAGTCACAAGAATAAACTCAAAAGTAATAATAATTCTAAACATTTCATTCCAAACTTACCAATCCTTTTGTATCCAGGAATCTTTGGAAGGTGGAGAAAATATCAACATTTCTACCTGGGTCATTAATAAGCTTCTGAAAGGTTTCTAACCTCTTCTGCAGAATCTGGGAAAAAGAGCAATAAAACATGAAGTCCAGGTCACACAGACAACCAGATACAACACGCTGTGACTCGCTTTTGTGACCCCTGTATGTTAAACTGCGGTGAATACAAAAAAGGGCTAGCAACTAGCTCTAACCTAAAACAAGATTTTATTTTTCATTGCTTTGAGATTGCATGTGAATTGTTGTTAAACAATCATTGAACGGTTTAAGTTAGTAACTAACAGTAAACTAGCTGCCACAGACTGCTAGCTAAATGTTAGCTAATCACTTGGAAAATTGCTGTCCTCCCCTTCCAGGCACAAAAGAGAAACTACTGTGGCCACAAGATGTCCAAAAAACACCCAAATCTAGAGCCAGTGTTTGCTTTGTCCTTTCTGGGCTACTGTAAAAACATGGTGGTTCAACATAGCGGATTCCATGGAAGAAGATATAAAGGACTCATTCTGAGGTAACGAAAACATAGCAATTCTTATTCTCAGGTGATTATACTCTGATGAAAACATACCTGTAAATATTATATTCCTTTTCTGACAATAGATCCTCCTAAATGTTACACACTGGACCTTTAATGATTGTTGTCAATTTATTTTATTAAGATTTTAAACAGTCAAATATCAATATCAGTATCTGTTGGGGCTCGTCTTGCAGGATTTATTTGTTTATCAACCTGAGGGGAATTTACAGTCTATAATTAAACATGTGTATATATATGGTGGGTATTGGTGGTGGGTGAGTTGATTCCAATGTCTGTTGGCTCAATATGTTTAAATTTATAATGTAATAAATAAATGCAGGCATCATCAGAATTTGATCTGCGAAACACCATTTAGACCTTTGTGTTTCGAAAATACAATGAACAAAAAAACAGAAATTAAATAAAAAGGACACACTGAAAATGGTTTTGGTTTCAGGTCATAACTTTCTTCGAGTGTTGAGAGCTGTGTTGGAGCCTGACTGTGCCTTCTTGTAAATTATTGGAACTTGTGACTGAATTCCTATTTTTTAGGGCTACACGATATGGTAAATAAATCATATTGTGATTATTTGACAGATATTGCATGGATATTGATTACAATATGACTCACAATTAGTGTGGGAATAATACGTTTTAATATAACTTTCACAGAAAATCATGATGATGTAAAAATCTGTTGGGGCTCGCACCAAACAAACATGATTTGCATATTGCAGCTTCTGCCATTTGGTCATACTGTCATTTCGATAATATTTTGATTAATTGTGTAGCCATAGTATTTTTACAAAAAGGCCTGCCTTACGACCTTAGAATAAAACCAGTATTCAATGAAAATTAAATCAAATAAAAACACAATAAAAACGTCAAACGTTGGTTTCAAACATTAATTAGGTATTAATAAGTAAAAACAACATCAGATTATGAGATGAAAGGCTAATTCCTTTTGAAATACCCTCTTACATAAATACATAATTTATACTTATACTTTCTTGTTGAGAGTGGGCCTGTAATACCCCCTCCAGCCAGTAAGTGGCACTGTGAGGTTCATTGTCAGTTTTCAGGGCATCTATTTCCAGTGTGTAACTTGATTTGGCTGCATGAAACTGTAAGAAGAACCACTCTACGGGAATATGAGAGGATAATGTTGCAACCATAGACATATATATGTATATATGTCTATGGTTGCGACTGTGCAGAATACACACCACGGACACAATATGGTAGCTAGGTTAGCTTGTTCTGTTTATCTTGCTGCCCGGTGGCATCTTGAGTGTTTGCTAGTCTGAGCATTTAGCACTTTGTATGCTAACATGCTAGTGTAGGACTTGACTGACAACCTGCTGTATGGAAGTAAACCTTCCAGCGGTCAGACACATTTCACCATCAACTGTAACTCGGTTTGGGAACTTTAGCATCTGAAATTAGCTCTCTAATGCTAGCTTACAATGCCCCTCGCTCCTGCAAACCAGTCCCAGTTCATTCGGTCGAGTCAGAAGGACGAATATTATCAAAGCTTCCTCAGAAACAACGCCAACGAAGCGTTTCAAACACTTGCTGGTAAGTTTGTTCATATTTAACACTAGTGAGAAATTAGCATTCGTCTTCTTTAGCTAACTTACTTTACTTTAACATGTAGCTTCAGAGCTAACATTAGATTCTGACTGGCTGCAGGGCGGCCATTAAAAAAGGGATAATGCCCGCCGAGGTATCCATGAACAGGAATTATTTGACACCCTGCAGCTAATCACAATCGAGTATTCACCCAGACCAATGTAACGTTATCATTCTGACATAGGACTCTTACTAAGTAGTTCCAGTGAAACTGTCTGTTCACTGTTCTAAATAAATGTGCTTAAATCATTTGAATGGAAACTTTATTTAGCTAAATATGTCATAAATATATCTCACAACACTGCCTGTAGTCCTTCAGTGCCTCATCTTCTGAACACCGCAGGATGGAGACTGTAACACACAAGCTCCTATGAATTGTTTGTGAGCACAGTAACATGAAGCCAGCTAGTCTTGTTGTTAGACATGCTGTCAAATTCTATTTTCTGTTTGTCGATACGCAGTGTTATTGACTTTGAATCTCGCTAGAATCATGTTAGCTCTCTGGCTCGTAGCTGAGCCACAGCGCTGTCTGAGCGGAGGGGACTGAGTCGCAGTTTTCATTGCATAAGAACCTTATGGGATGGTAATGATTGTTCCAGGTGTTAGTGAAGTGACTCAGGTGTTGCCAGGGAAACAGAGTTATGGCTTGTGAAAAACTTTAGATTTTGATTGCAAAAGACTAAAGGTCTTAACTTATTTTTCTTTGGCAAGTTACCATGGTATAATGCCCGACGAGGAGTCCATTAATTCCTGGTAATGGACTCCTTGTGGGGCATTATGCTTTACATAAATGCTGCTTTGGATGGATGAATGCAGACTTGCTGGTTTAAACATGAAATAGCTGTGTAGGAAAATGTTCTCAATTCTGTCTTCTCTTTCTCTCTCTGTAGGTTCCAAACGATGGCTGGACTGGAGGAGAGAGATAGAGCTGCTGTCAGACCTCGCATACTATGGCTTAACAACATTCTCAGGTAGTTACCGACCAACCAGCACAAAACCTCACTTTACTTTATCTTGTGATTAAATATTTAGTTTTTTATTATTCTCCTCCCCAGGTTACCAAACCTTGGGCGAGGAATATGTCAACATCGTCCAGGTGGATCCCACTAAACGTCAAATCCCCTCTCGGGCCAGACGAGGCCTCTTTGTCCTCTGCCACGCCTTCTTCCCTTACCTCCTGGACAAGGTCCTGGTGTGCCTGGAGAACGAGCTGGAAGGCGGGCAGGAGAGCCGCAGTGGTGTCGGTCGGCGGCAGGCGGCGTCCGGGCTGTGGAGCCTTGAGTTTTGGCTGAGGAGGTGGATGCAGCGGGCGGTGGGGCTGCTGTCGGAGCCTCAGAGGAGGGCATGCCTGCCAGCCGTGTTCATCCTCCAGCAGGGTCTGACCCTCCTGCACAGACTCCATGTGGCTCTTTTCTACATCAGCGGCTCCTTCTATCACCTGTCTAAGAGGGCGGCTGGAATCAGTTATGTAGGTGATTTCCTTACGTGTTTCAAATATATCTCACACATCAGACGGCATAGAGAGTACAGTAGGCCCCACTCATACATTCACATATATAACCAAGTCTGCATTCATACTACTCACATGTTCTCTCAACTAAATATCCAAGTAAATGAGCTTGTTCCACCCCCATCATTTTTTGACTCCTAGTTATGAAGCGAGGCAGAAGGCTATTAGTACGTTATAAAGTGTAACGTTTTCTAACAACATGATGGGTGCTGAGCATGACTTTTAGTTTTAGTTTTTCCTTTGTCCAACAATCTCCCCCTCCTGTGCGGTTTACTGACAGTCACCATGAGTGAGAGATGTAAGCCTCCTCCACATGCAGGTATCACAGGCCAGAAAACTCTAAAACACAAGTTGGTTTATTTGTCTGACTTTAAAAGAAGGTCAACAGAGCGGATGTATACAAGCCTATGAGTGTGTCCCTATATGATATAACTGAAGAGAAACAGAAAGAAGAGGGGCGGGGCACACTGGTGGGGGTGTGTGCGTGCGCAGCAGCGTGCAGTAAGCGATAGATGTGTAGGTGTGTGCACATATATCTGAATCCTAAAACTTACCCAACAAAATGATATAATAGTGGAATATTGGGATCCAGCCCTAATTCACAGCAATCCTGTCCCCAGATTAATGTGGTTTTATTATGGCTCATTTCCTTATAGGTTAAATCGTTATTAATAATAAAAAATAAAAAACTTTATTTATATAGAACTTTTAACATCAGTTCCAAAGTGCTTCACAATTAGAAGAAAGAACAGAAACAGATAATCAAAAATAAAAACAAAAGAAAGGCAATGCATAAAGGGTTTTTTTTGTTTTTAAAAATGCATTCCAGTCCCAGCTGACCTGACAGTGAGGGGGAGGCAGGTCCATAGTGTTGGAGCTAAAACCTTAAAATTACAGTTCCCCATTGTTATGAGCCAAGAGCGTGGGACATTTAAGAGCAGCTGGTCTGCAGATCTGTGTAATCCTGGTGTTGAGTATTGTGTTATAAGCTCAGAAATGTAAAACAGTGCCATGCCGTTGAAGCCTTTGAATGTGATCAGGAGGATCTTGAGTGTGCCAGAGTGACGCTAATGTGCTCTCTTCGTTTAGTATTTGTCAAAAGCCTGGCTGCCGCATTCTGAACCAACTGAAGACGAGCAGTTGCAGACTCACTTAGGAAAATAAGGAGTTGAGTAGGCAACGAGGGACAGCTTCCGTACTCACATAGTGTGCTTGCATACATTCATTCCAAAACATACACAGCATATATAGAATCATGTCAAAAGATAAAGTAGAGCATGTCAACTGCATACGATAAACCTCCCAAACAGTGACATTTTAGTCAAATCACTTCCCCACCATGTTTATTGTTTTTCAGCTTTTCAGCACATTTCCTAACCACTGTAGTTAATTAGTAGGCAGGATGTCAATGTGTGATGAATAATATCCTGAAGAGAGTTTGCCGCCCATAATGGAATGGTTTATTGTAAGATTTTTGCCACTTATTAGGTACACCTAGCTAAAACTACACATTGTAATATATTGTCTGTCTCATTTCTATCAGTGAGGCTGGACTAAATGACAGAAACACTTCTCATTATAACTAAATGCAGTTCAACAGAACCACAAACCACATCCTCTAAAATAATTATACCGTCGAATCAACACCTCTCTAAAACAGCTCAACAAAAACTGAACATTAGAACCTTCATGAAAGGAGGCTTTAATGCAGGACACTGCATTAGTTCCAGCTTGGTGGACCCAATAAACCAGTGTGTATGTGAGCTTGGATTTTTATGGGCTTACATTTCTAGAGGCACTGAGTGCAGTTTTTACATCAAAAACTGAAATTCTATTTGGTTTGAATACATTTATTTATAAATAGGTAGGTAGTCGTTACCGCAGTGGCCCGGGTTCAATCACCCCACCCACACACCCCTTTCCCTTCTATCTTCACCTATCCTATCAGAATAAAGGCATAAAAAGCACCCAAAAATATATATTTAAATATTTTAACAGTTAACAGTATTCTTCTACAGTAGTTACTCACTGTTTTATGCCGCTTTGCTGTTTCAAGGCAATCGGTGGCTTGTGACACATGTAGGAGTGAAGCTATGTCATCCTCTCTGTGTGTGTGTGTGTAGCTGCGTGTCACAGGGCTGAACAGCGATGACGGGACCATCAGAAGCAGCTACAGGCTGCTGGGGGTCGTGTCCCTCCTCCAGCTGCTCATCACAGTTTGTCTGCAGCTCAACAACTTCAGACAGAGACAGAGAGCCCGGCAGGAGTGGAAGCTCCAAAGGAACCTCAGGTACAGGACCAGATGGAAGGACACAGCTCTTGAGATGTGAACACCTCCATCTCCGTCTGGTGGTGATGGCAGGACTGAATTGCAGTTTAAAACAGCTGTTCTTATTCCTAAAATAAATATTTTAGTGTTGAAGTGAACAGAGGTTTGTCAGTATTTCAGTGAGTGTCGTTGTTAGAATTCATCCTCCTGGAACCATAAAGGGAAACTCTGGTACTTTTCAGCCTGGCTGTTTTCATGTCTATGTGACTAATGGGGACAGCAATTGATTCAGTATCGAGCAAGATCTCTGCAGCTATGAAACGGGCTGCAATAATCCTTTCAGACAATTGCCCTCCATCAAAGTAAGTCCAGTAAAGTGGCTTGTTTCTGATAGGCTAAGATTGTTATTATTATTATTAACCCCCAGAGCACTGGAGTTGCTGTTCTACCACATGGTTAGTTTGTTCATGTTATTGTGTGACTTTGCTGTTTTTAAAGGGTTAAAAACAGCAAACCGACACCAAACAAACTAAACGCAGTGCTAGAACAAAACTTTAACAAAAAGTAGGGATCCTTCATATAATGTTATCAGACATTACAGTAATAATGTCAGTGGAATAAACAAGCAACTTTAGAGGAAGTAAACTGACTGAACATTTCCCCGAAGGATTATGTTGGAACCCGTTTAGCGCTCTCACACAATACTGGGCCAATTTCAAAATTTGTCTCCATTAGTCAGATACAAAAACATGGGAAAATAGTGTCCAGGTTGAGAAATATCAATGCAATCTGCCAGTAGTTGTTGAGGTGTCTTGCTCTGAACTGTGCACAGATCTGACAACAGTAAAATGACCATGGTCAAATTATTAATGTTTGCTCCGCCAGCAGGTGAGCCATAAAATGATGGATGCTGATTACACTCATTCAATGTTACCGTTTGTCACTATCATAAATGATATGACTCGAGTTTGATGCCGATCTCTTCGACCTGTCTGTCTGCAGTCCTCAGCACACACTGGGCTCGGGGCCCAGAGTCGCCCGCTGTATCTTGTGCCTGGAGGAGAGGAGAAACTCCACCTCCACTCCCTGTGGACACCTCTTCTGCTGGGAGTGCATCACGGAGTGGTGCAACACGAAGGTCAGGCTTGTGTCATGACTGTCATCTGTATCTTTAGACTGTACTACATAAGTAATAGGGAGTTAAAATACAAATTTAAATACAATACTTTCACACTCTGATTATTTCAGTTTTGTGTTTATATGTTCCATATTCCTAAAGTAATATGTGTAAAATCATGTTACCAAACAGCAAAGGTGAAACCAGGTAGCTTTCCTCCAGAGGCTGTCACAATATCAGTACAGGATTATCTTGGCCAAAAGAAATCCCAATTCCGATATTATGGCAATGTCTATCAAACGTTTTGTGCTGAAGTGCTGTAAGTCAAATTCATCTTTCAATTTTATTGTGTTTTGTCTCTATTTGGTAAATGAATTACACTGAACCACAAAGTGAGAACAGAGACAGATTGTTTACCCAGTATTACCCAGGGTTACCACACATCCTGAAAAACCTGGACATTTAGAGACTAGTTTTCCAGTCATAGAAACAGTTGGAAATTGATTCAAATGACCAAATATCGATATAGCCGTATTTTCAGCAAAGAGTCTATACCCTTGTATCATAAAAAAGGAGGAATAAAAGTGGGGTAAAAGGTGTCAGTATGAGGCCTACCAGTAGGGATGTAACGATTACCG